TTGTTTGTTTTTTTTTTGTGAAAAGTTTCGGATGCCTGCATGGCTCTGTGATATGATACTTCATTCGCATGGAGATTGCATCAGCTAGAACGCCATTGTATCACGCATTTTGTTTTCTTCGTATTTCTCTTTCTTTCGTATTAGTGCAGTATACCGTTTACAAACATCGACTATGGCACGATAATGATTACGAACACCGATGGCGGGTAACTGTGGTGCCCCTCTTGTGATCTCATAGCAGATTTCGCTGTATATTTGTGAAATTTGAGCCACTGAAACTTGATACAACTCAGTGCCTTATTAAAGCGAGCATTCTATTAAACCTCAAGCAAAGGTAGGACTAAAGGTACGTGTGCGTGGCAGCAATTACTAAAGTTAGGCAGACACATTCGTCATTTACCAACCACAGTGTGGCAACGGTTGCGGTGAATGATTGCGATCCTGAACTACGCGGGGTCAGTCACGCCGGTGGCGGCAGCATTTTCGATGGAGGTGAAAACTCTACACCCGTAATGTTAGATTTTTGAACAGGTTAAGGAACACCAAGTGGGAGATATTTACGGAGTCTTCTACTGATATTGCCTCATAAGGATAGCGTAGTTTTTTCACGTTAGGCCCCAGCTATAATAGTTACCTGTTACAGTTAAACATATCCCCGGTAGACAACAAATCGTATATTGCATGAGATACGATTCCCCGAGAATATGGCTTCCTTAAATGCCTCCTTATAGATGAAGAACTCGGTAAGAGCCACTTGTAATAAAATCTCGCCGTACCTGCCTTTGGAAACACTTCCTCCATTAGCACATTGTTTACTATAGCATGGTTTACGGGTGACGCAATGATGGCAATGATGGCCTTAGTTAAATGATCGCTTCGTTGAGATTAACCACGAGACTACAAATTTGGATGAACACAGACGGGTGGGTCAAGTACGCACTCGTACTGCTTCTCACGGTGGTACACTCGTGGTATCCGGTTGAAAGCGTTTCTTGTGCTCTAGTAGCTCTCTACTGTTGAATTCTGGTGCTATGTACAGCGATTGGTCAGGTGTGAGGGCCCAAGCACTGGACTAGCAGACATTTCGCTTAACAAAATAAAGTATCCCATTTTAAATGCGAAGCATTTCTTTGTGTAATGCAAGCAATTGTTCTATCTATCTATCTATCTATCTATCTATCTATCTATCTATCTATCTATCTATCTATCTATCTATCTATCTATCTAGCTATCTATCTATCTATCTAGCTAGCTAGCTAGCTAGCTATCTAGCTAGCTAGCCGCCCGACTGGGCGCTCTCATGATCACCCTCTTCACTGGGCTTGAACCAAAATAACATAAAGGGTACGAAGGTTTGACGAATAATACGCAGAGGTCAAGACAGGAATAATGTCACTATCTCATCGCACACGTCGTAAAAACCTCCCTTCAAATAGTGGCACATACCCGAAGGCGAGTGTGTGCCACAGGTGTGCGGGCATGTGCCACAGGTGATAGAAACTCAGTCTCTACCCAGATGCTTCAAGAACACACAAGGGTAGTTTTAACGCGAAAGTGTTAAGAAAAAACTGTCTTCGGTAACGTTGACCCAACGAACGCACAGAGTAAATATCATGGTCCGAGCAGAAATTTAATCTCAGCAACCTGCGTGGCGATCAAATATCTTACCACAGAGCAACGCCAGGTCTCAGGCTTACTTTTCAATAGACTCTGATGCTCGTGAAACTGCGATTTTGGTTGCAGCACTGGCTATCGAATTTTATTAATACTACATATATACACCTATCGTACAGCTGCGACGTCGAGCGAACATCGATTGTATTTAGGTGACACTCACTGAAGTTGATTCATGTAGCAGCGTCCACAGCTAATATCGTCGTGAGCCCCAGCGCTTCATATAAGCTCATCGCTTCTGGTGTTGCTAAGATACAGGATGTTACTGTTGGCAGTTTTGCGCAAGAGGAAACAACTTGTTTTTAATCATCTGCAGTTTTTCAACAAGTGGATGTGCGTGCAACCTTTGTACATATATTTAGTCTCACTTTCCATAACGTGTCGCTCAATAAAAGATATTCAACATGATCACGTGCCCTCCGCATGCTTAGCATAACCTCGATTCACCAAAAACGTGAGATCTGCGTTTTTTGTTTTTGCAAACTACGTTTCCGGCCTTTCGAACAAGTCCCACAGGTGTGATCGTTGTAGGCTTTAGAGTCAGCAAAGTATTGCGCACCTAAAGGGACGGCAACAGCAAGAAGCAGGTACATTCCAAAGAACTGATCCATCCTGCAGTTTTTTCTGTGGAGAAGAAACGTATGACATTTTTATTTCAGCACTACAATGACAGCAATTCAGTGATTTAGCTGCGCAATAATTTTGTTTGTTATTTTGCAAGAGACTTCGATTTATTAACGTTCCTACGCGAATTTCGAAGTGAACCTAGAAAACATATCTAGAAAATCCTTCGATTGTACCTGGTGGTTGTGATTTATTCATTTCATATCAATTAGTGATTTCTTTTCAAAGCCGATGGATTTGCAGAAACAGTGTGCGGAAATGTAAATAAGATGGCGGTAGAAAACATAAAGTAAGACATTATTCAGCACATTTCTAACGTGTTAATTCTAACGAAGGGGTACTAGGTGTGGTAAAAGAAATGTTGTTCTTCATTCATTGTTACTCAGCTGCGGGAGGCTGCTTCCATTGGATTGACGGTTGCGGTACTAAATATATGAATAATTTTGAGATTTACAAATTTTATTGTCCACCTTATAGAGATCATCAGCGAAATCAGACATATTTTTCGTTGTTAAAGTAGAGTGCCGTGAAGAATTCTAGGGTGGTACAGTTTAGCAAAATTTTCAAATGGCAGAAACTTTGACGCGCGTTTAGTGTCGGTAGAAAAATGATTGCGTTCTTGACTGTTAAGCTGGCAGTGCTATTATGGTTAATCGATTCAGGTTATCTCAAAGAAGATAACGTGCAGCGACAATATTTTGTTTCAGTTAACCTAATACGGGTGCCCCGCCGCAGTGGCCTAGTGGCTAAAGTACTCGGCTGTGGACCCGCAGGTCGCGGGATCAAATCCCGGCTGCGGCGGCTTCATTTCCGATGGAGGTGGAAATGTTGTAGGCCCGTGTGCTCAGATTTGGGTTCACGTTAAAGAACCCCAGGTGGACGCAATTTCCGAAGCCCTCCACTACGCCGTCTCTCATAATCATAGCGTGGTTTTGGGACATTAAACCCCACAAATCAATCAATCAACCCATTATTGGCGGTACACACTGGAGCGACACATGATCCTTCTGTTCCAGATGGTAATTTTCTAAAATATAACAATGCGCCTGTTTGATACAAGATTCAAAAACGAATTGAAAAGTACTTATTTCCCTTTTAGTGAAATAAAGTTTTTTTCATTCCATTTCATTCCATTTTAGTATCAGCATCAAGAAATAGTGCACCATCATCAGCAAAATATTCAATTATTGTTTTTTGGGGTTTACCGTCCCAAAACCACCATATGAATAGGAGAGAAGCCGTAGTGGAGGGCTCCAGCAATTTCGACCACCTGGGGTTCTAAAACGTGCACCCAAATCTGAGTACACGGATTTACAACATTTCCGCCTCCATCGGAAATGCAGCCACCACAGCCGGGATTTGATCCCGTGACTTGCGGGTCAGTGGTAAAGTACCTTAGCCACTACACCACCGTGGCAGGGCTCATCGGCAAAAAGAAAAATGTAGGCGAAACAATACCAGAAGGTCCTTGAAGTAAATATAAATATAGAAGGACTCCACAGATTTCCATGAAAAACCAGAATCTACATCAGTAAATATTTAAATGAAAGTGCTCATGTGCATCTTCAACTATGCGTTGGAAAAGTGCAAAAAATTACCATGACCGGTTGATTGTTTATCACGAATATCGTGGATGTTATGTAAAAGTTTTCTAGTGCAACATTTGACACGTACACGAACGACAAAAATATGAAAGAATGGGTGCTGCTCTGCTTAATGTCATTCAATCACAAAGCCTTGTTTCACATAGCTATGGATTCTCGAAACCTACGAAGACGAAAAAGTGACTTCTCTTCCAGACAACTATAGTACTTTGAATATTGAATGTTCTTGGCATTCCTATCAATATGAACTGGGCCAGAGTATAGAGCGAGACGCTTTACTGCTTTGCTCTATCAGCTAAACCACCTGTCCCATCTTGAGGTCTGCATGAAGGCTAATGGTTTGTTGAGATGTATTAAAAATATGGCCTGATATACGGTAGCAATCGCCTGGTGTATTTCTTGAAAATATAAGTAGGGAATAATAAATACAATCAGCTGTACTGTAATGAATCAATTATCAACGATCGGCGATATTTAAGCTTTCATTTGCAAAAGAGCGAAAATGTACTTGTCAGCACACGAAGCTAACAACCTAATGACTTCTTGGAAACAAGTTTTCGTAAACTGTAGCCTAATGTTCGCAAAATACTTAAAGAGCTCCTATTTACACAGATATTTGCATGATGTTCACTCACCACAGCTTTTGTTGAGCTGCCTCAAAGAGTATAAGTAGATAGTGCAAAACATGTGCTCTTGTGGTTAATATATAGGGCGAATCATTTTCACATATGTCAATAAAGTCAGTACCAGGAACAAATCAGGCCTTTCTGTGCAAGGACATATTTAATAAGTATTTTAATTGAAATTCCTCGAACCAAATTCAAAACAACAAACTGTTCATCACTCGCGGAAAATCGCTCCGGGTTCATTAACGAAGACTATAATGGCAGCAATCATTTTTAATTACGTGTTCACTTTGACCACCCCGTCGTGCGATACATTCGAAAAGCCCACAACTACCTCCCATCGTACCTTTTTTTGCAAGGCCACTGATAAAAAGGCTTCTTTCAGGATACCAATTTCAAGGCTTGTTTTCTGTTACCTGCATAATGTGTTTCAAGTTTGGTAAATTCAACTTGTTTATTATAAATTATCTCCAAAACACGCAATGCCAGTAATAAATCTGAACCCGGGGGTGTTCTGAGAAAAGCACAAATTGTTGACTGCAGGCGTAACCTAATACATTCACTGTAATTTTATGGCAAACCTTGAAACTACTACACAGCCTTGAGATTCTAATGGGCACAACAGTGCCAAATAACCATTTTGGCAGAATTGAGACTGACACTACCTCAGCACCACACTGAAAAATCCCGTATGTTTTTCTTTATTCGCATGTGTCTGCATGTGTTTCGGTCTGACTTCGTACTGGAACACCGACACACGTGCAATAAATGAGCGCATTACACAGACATGCCACTAAATCAATGCGGGTCTTCTACTGGGCTTCTCCTTGATTTGTCTCCGCTCTTGAACGAGTGTTGTATGCGCAATATTTCAATTGGAATGGTTGCTCCAACTTGAATACTTCTAGCTATTGACGTCCTAACAAAGTTTTAGTAAGTTTATAAGAGTCACTGTGCAATAAAGTCACCCATCGTCATAGCGAGCATGTAAAGATTGCATATTATGTCAAATACCTGATAACGCAAAAAAAATATCTAGTGAGAAAAATATTCGGACAGGATGTCTAGGTACACATATTGTGCTTTAGGTTATTTCAAACTAGTTAATGGGTCAAAGAAAGAAGTCCGACAGTTTTTGTTAATGAAACATTGAGCTCTATAGCTTTAAGAAGGTGCCAAAATTTTAACACATGGAAATGCCAATTTAAACAGCCTTAAAATGAACGAAGATCAATCGAGGCATTGTTTAAAGAACCAAAGCTTGAAAGCGGTATGCATGACCCCACTACGGCATTTATATACTCAGTAATAGTGTTTGCGCAACGTAAATAATTTGATTCTCTTTACTAAGGAGAAGCCTTGTAGGCTCATCATCGAAAGGCGTGCTTATTTAGGTGTGTTTATCATCGCTCCTAATCAGTATGCTACTGTCGACACAACAGCGGAGAGATGGACGTAATTATGGGGGGCAAAAAGAATATAATTCTACCTTGACTAAGATGAGAAGTGGAATGCAAGCTGTACGAGGCTTACGCGGTGTGGAATACAGGCTTTATGGCAAGAGTTTTGCAATTTTTCGTATCTCTGCATGCATGGAGTGCGCAAAGTTTTTATGAGTATTTTATCTTATCCACCCGTAAAGTTTCATAACGTTCGTAGCCATGAATGCCATGGGAAAATAATTGTGAAGAAATATACTAAATAAATGTTTATTAAGATGAAAGAAGGAACATCATGGTCGGTAACTAGAATTATTGTACTGCTCTTGCGCCCTTGATATTCGTTCCGTATTTAAATAAATGTTGTTAGGTTTAGACAGATTGACGGCGTCATTCAGGTGACACGGCGCCAGCCACAATAGGGTTAGGTAATAATACAGCATTTAATCCTGGTGATCGGGGACGCGGCAATATTGGTGGCATAGTGGCACTGGTGAAGATTTTTATTTAATGTAGGTCATGAATTTCTGAGCCTATGCTATATGTGAAAAACAAAGCTAATCAAAAGTAAAACTATCGAAAAAACGAAGCACAGGTTTATGAGGGAACAAATACTTTGTTAAGTTTTACGGCCTATGATAGACATTAGAACATCTCAATGTTTCTCTCGTCTTTTCACATGCCTTTCTAAATTGAAAATTTTTTTTTACGCACTTTTAACCTATTATACGGACAACTACCTCATGTATGCTTATTGCAAATTCACTCGGAGACCTGCAGCAACAATTGAGTACCCTGCATTTTTTCCGCACATGAAATGCGAGAGATTACCGAAACGGCAGCCGGTCGTTCTTTTTTCGTGAAGGGTGACAAATGAAAAGCCGTCCCAAAAGCCGTCCTTGTTTTCTGCCACAGTCATTACTTAAGAAAAAAAATTACTATTCTGCATAGTGCAGTTTAAAGACTGTGACTGATTTATTTTCAGTTGTTGTTATAAGTGTATCGGAACCTTAACATAGCAACGTTTAACGCTAGAACATTATCTAGTGAGGGAAGTCTAGAGAAGCTAGAGGGTGTTAAGTGGGATATAATAGGGCTCAGCAAAGTTAGGACGACATATAAGGCCTGTACAGTGCTACAGAATGGACACGTCCTGTTCTATCGTTGCTTGGCTAAAAAAAGAGAACTGGGAGTGGGATTCCCGATCCACAGATATATAGCTGGCAACATAGAGGAATACTATAGCTATAATGAATGGGTGGTAGGTATCCTGATAAGCTCAATAGGAGATACAAGATGAAGGTGGTACAGGCCTATGCATATACGTCCAACCTTGATGACGCGTCACTTGAAAGCTCCCAGGAAAACACGGAATCGGCAATGAGTAAAATAAAAACACAGTGCAATATACTGATGGGAGACTTCAATGCCGAGGTAGAAAAAAAGCAGGCTGGAGACCAGGCAGTAGGAGATTACGGCGTCGTTACTAAAAATGCCAGAGGATAGCTATTAGTAAAATTTGTAGAACGCTATAATTTACGAATATTGATTATCTTCTACCGAAAACGAGGGAATCTAAATGAATATGGAGAAGCCTTAATGGCGAAATTAAGAACAAAATAGGCTTTATAGTGAGTGCACACTCAGGCATCGTGCAGGATGTGTAAGTGCTTGGCAAGGAACAATGCAATGACCATAGAATGGTGCAGTCTTGAATCTGCCTAAACTTGAAGAAGGAACGGCAGAAACTGATGCACAAGAAGCGGATCAATGAGCTAGCACTGAGAGGCAAAGTGCACAAATTCAGAGTCTTGCTTCAGAACAGGTACTCGGCTTTTATCGAGGAAACTAGCCTTAGCATTGACGCAATGAAAGAAAATCTGACGAGTAACATTACGGAGTGTGCAGGGGAAGTTGGAGGTACGGCAGTGAGACAGGACACTGGCGAGCGGTCCCAGGAAACAAAGAACCTCATTAAGAAGCGTCAAAGCATGAAATTGCTGAATACAACTGACAAAAAATTTAGCTGAGCTTTAGAAATGATTATTAGGCGTAAAATATGCGATGTAAAAAGTTATAACATGCAGAGAATCGAACACGCCGTGAAGAACAGAGGAAGCGTCAAAGCAGTGAAGAGGAAGCTTGGGATAGGCAGAAATCAGATGTATGCACTGAGGGACTAGGAAGCCAAAATAACTACCAATATGGATAGGATAGTTAAAATACTGGAGGAGTTTTTACAGAGATCTGTACAGTAGCCGAGACAACCACGAGCTTACTATAAGAAGCAGTAACCCTGATGGCCCCCAACGATTAATTATAAAAGAATCAGAAAAGCCTTGGAGAGCATGCAAAGAGGCAAAGCTGCTGGTGAGGATCAAGTAACATCAGATCTGCTGAAAGATGGACAGATTGTGTTAGAAAAACTAGCCACTGTGTTTAAAAGGTGTCTCCTGACCGGAAGAGTACCAGAATTCTTACATCATCTTAATACATAAGAAAGGAGTTGAAAAGGAGATTAAGAATTACAGGGCAATCAGCTTGATCTCCGCCGTATACAATCTAATTACAAAGGGAATTGCTAACTTATTTAAGGCAACAATAGAATTCAATCAGCCAAAGGAACAAGCAGAATTTCGAACAAGCTACTCAACAATCAACCACACTCATACTACCAATAAGGTGTTGGAGAAATGCTCAGAATACTGCCAACCACTATACATAGCGTTCATTGATTACGAGAAGACCATTGATTCAGTAGAAATATCAGCAGGCATGCAGACACTGCGGAATCAGGTCGTCGACGAGGCATATATAAACATCCAGGTAAAAATCTACAGGAGGCAACAGCTACCATAGTGTTTTATAAAGAAAGCAACAGAATACCACTCAAGAAGGGTGTAAGGCAGGGGGATACAATCTCCCCAATGGTATTTATTCCTTGCTTTCAGGAGGTTTCCAGAGGCCTCGAATGGAAAGGGTTAGGGATAAGAGTTAATAGAGAGCACCTTAATGAACTGCGCTTCACCAATTATATTGCATTCTTGAGTAACTCAGAGGATGAATTGCAACTCATGATTGCTGAGTTGGACACGGAGAGCAGAAAGGTAGATCTTAAAGTAATTTGCAGAAAACGAAAGCAATCTACAACAACCTCAGAAGAGAACAGCGTTTCGAGATCGGTAATACTGCACTTGAAGTTCTAAAAGACTTTGTCAACTTAGGACAGTTAACAACCGCGGAGCCGAACAACGAGATTGGAGTAACTAGGAGAATAAAAATGGAGTGGAGCACATTTGTCGAGTGCTCTCAAATTTCGACAGATATATTGCCACTATTTCTCAAGGGAAAGGTATATGACTGCTACATTTGTCCGGTACTTAGCTACGGAGCAGAGAGCTGGAGACCTAATAAGAGGGTTTAGCTTAAATTTAGAACGACGCAGCAAGCAATGGAAAAGAAAATGGTATGCGCAACCTCATTAGACCAAGAAGGGTGCAGAGTGGATCCGGGAACAAGCCGGGGTTAAGGAAATCTTATTTGAAATCAAGAAGAGGAAAGGAACATGGGCTGGCCACGTAGCGCGTACACAGGATAACCGCTGGTCAGTGAAGGCAAATAACTAGATAGCCAGAAAATGCAAGCGGCTTAGAGAGAGATAGAATTTTAGATGGGCAGATGAGGCTAAAAAGTTTTTGGTATAAAATGGCAGCAGCAAGCACAGGAACATGTTGACAAGCAGAACATGGGAGAGGCCTTTGCCTTGCAGAGGGCGTAGTGAGGCTGATGATGATGATGACAATAACAATAATGATGATCGTGATGATGATGATGGCGATGATCATGATGATGATGATGATGATAAGTGTACAATGACAAATCGTATAGTCAACCACTAATGTTCATGGACCACAACGCCACGTGGCCGAAAATTTTTCACGACACATACGCTACATCCGTGGCGTATGTGTCAAACG